CAATTACTAGTTAAGAAGTACTAACTGCGATATTAGAATTACCTTTATTAAGGTGTTTCACTGTAGGCAAAAAATACTAAATGATACACGTGTTTAAGTCTTGAAAACAGTCGTTTTGCACTTCTGGCACTTTATCTGATACTTTTGACACCTTTATCGATAAGGTCTTCTTTAAATCATATACCATCATCATTGTCATCTTTTTTTTTTTTAAATTTTTTTGCTTCTGTTTTCTTCATCTTTGTCCAAAACTTGCTCGTGCTCTTCAGCTTAAGCAACTGCACTGTTCTGCTGGGAAGTAAAGGTGAAGATAGGAGGAGGGAGATGAAGTGGAAGAATGACAAGAAATAAGATTAGAGTGGTTTCAAAGGAAAAATAATTGGTCAATCTTTATACGAATGATTAAAAGAAGAAAAAAAGAAGTTTACTGCAATCAGATAACAACTGGTCTTTTACTCTTCTGGAATCAGTGATGTCACATGAATTGTTTTTTCGAATTGGTAAACAAAAAAAAGCCGAGCCTTTACACTGTTTAGTCATTTGACAGCAGTGACAGCAGTAATGATAGCAACAACAACGGTCATTGTTCAAAGATGAAAAAGTAATTTTCAAGTAATTTCAAACCAGCTGGTCTATTTTTGGATTAAGTAGCTGTCGAGAAAAAAATCTTTTGCTGGATTTCTTACATCTATATCTTTTGTTAAGTTGTTTAGTTTCTCGTCATCAGCAACATCATAATCACCATCATCATCGAAACATCATCGTCATCGTCATAAACACCATCACCATCATCCTTGTCAACGCCATAGTTCTCATCATCATCATCCTCATCGTCGGCACTATAATCATCATTAGCATCGTCGTCATCATTTATCCATCACTTCATCTGTCTATCGACCCATCCATTTGTCTGTACGTTCTTTCGTCTATTTGTCAATCTGTCGTTCCTCTTCCTTCAGTTCCACTCAAAACTTTTTTTCAGTTTTTGTTTTTGTTTTTTTTTTTTTTTTTT